TACAATAAAAGAAAAATGAGATAAACAAATAAATATGTTTCTCAGTTCTGATAAATAGGTTTATCAGATTCATAAGAAAATTAAAAAAAATAAAATTTCAAGGAAAAGTTGAATCAACTGTTCTACAAACTTGATATACAAAAGGCTGGATAGCAAGCTCCATACACACAGCAGACTGGAACCACCGCTTACAAAGAGATTGTGTGAAATGAGCACATTCCAATGGTGGGAGTAATCCATCATAAATCCAGCTCAGAAACAGTTTCCAGAAGCAGTATAGACTTGATGGAGAAATCGCAAATAAAAGCATCTCATTGATCCTCTCCATGAAAGAATGTTGATAAATCCTGAATTAGACCAAATCTCTCTCTTCAGCAAAACAGAAATCCTCCAGACCTCGGGGAAGTTGGAAGGTGTCCGAGTTGCTGAGAAGAGTGTGGAGGTAATTACAAGTGGTTGGAGACGTGCGTGTTACTCACTCAAGGGCTGATGAGCTAATTCTAAGCCAGTGTGTCTGTGACACTGTGACCTGCTTTCCATCCCATGGATCTGACAGGTTGGGTAAGAACCGTGGAAATCACTTCCTGGTGACTGAGCACATAAATTCCCCGGCACAGTCTGGGATAATTGACTTTGTCTAGCAGAAGGGGATGAATGAGTAGTCGTATCAGTTTCATGATTGATTTTATTATTTATGGACACACTATTTCAAGCTAACTACATGAATATTGCTATCCTTAAATATCTTAAGTAAAATCTGATTTACTTGCAACCTGAAATAAGCTTAATGTAAATCCCTGCTTTAGAAGATAAATCTCTGTATTCTTTATTTTTTTTGGCTCTTAACAGCTTCTCTGATAATTAACATGTCTGAGTTTAAAAATAAACCAATACGGGGGAAGATCACTAGAAATACATACAGTCACACTAAATATCAAGAAAATGGTTTCTAAACATTTTCTGGGAGCCCTGGCAAAAGGTGTGAAAAAGCAATATTAAGAAAAACACTTGCCAACAAGTAATCCTGCTGTTTACAAACAGGGAATGGATGTAAATTATTTAAAATATCTTTTCAGAAAAAAGAACATTTGTGTTCAATAAATATAGGTCAAGTCTCTCTCTTTTTTTTTTTTTTCTAGAGTAAAACTGACACTTTTCAGTTAGGTACTGAGTCTTTGTTAATGAGCTTTCATCCAGGACATGGCAGTATTAATTCATATGGCTCAGTAAATATTAAATCAGAATTGGTTTACCATAAGAACATATGACTGTAGATACACATGCCCAAACGCTCTTTAAAGAACTAGAGGAAGTATAATGCATTGGTTGGTACATTATACATACAGTTTAATGTATCTGGTTATCAGGAAGAGGATGCTGACTGATCCTATTTTTAATCTTAATAAATGGGAATCCATGCTAACTTTCCCCTTAACAATCCCTTTCACATCTCGCTCTTGATGCCAAATTTTCCAAGAATACCTACAGAGAAAGCAAATGATGGGAACTGGCTCCAGGAAACTTTAAGATTTGTCTGAATTTGTCTCTGGCCTCCAAGTTGAAGATTTTTGTGTGAAAAGACTTCAGACTATCCCTTAGAAAGCACATGATTACTTTACTCTTCATGATGGACCTGAGGGTGAGGATCGTTAAGAACTCTGTAAATCATTTCCCAGTCTAAGCAGGAATCTAAATCCACTGGCAGGTTTTGATGGGATTCATTTCCGTTAAAGAGACATGCTGTGTATTTAACCTAATGGCCCATCACTCAGTATGGAAGAGTTTATGTTTCTGAGAAAAGTTAACTCTGACATTTCTCATCTTGCTCAAGCCCACATGATTTACTGAGGAGATCACCATGTGTGACCAAAGTCACAAAGGCCTGGATCCTCTGTTTCTGCTTTTAATTCTCATCCAAAATCATCAGACCAAGCTTTTTATGAGCTGCCACTGAGCTGGGCTATGACTGTAACTCTTACAAGCTAAGTGTGGATTCATGTGCCAAACGAAATTATGATTACGAGCATGGTGTTGACATAAGCCCCGCAACAGGCCAGTCTGCAAGCTCGGCATCTGTGGGCTCACGCTTGGGAGTGAGTGTGCCTGCAGCCTCCCTTGACTGACATCCGTCAGCAGGGCTGAGATGTGGAGCTTCAGCTAAAGAAGAGATGCTGCTAACAACTGCACCTCAGAACTCCCTGATCGAGGGTCAAATCCTTTATTGCTGAGATAAGTGACAAACTCATTATGCAACACAAACATACAGGAATCAACTCCTCAAAGCAGTATAACCACGTGGGATTTAGCATAAACCTAGCGCCATTCCACTTAACAGCAGTATGCTGAATTAAACCTTACATAGCTTGATGAGGTAAGATAAGAGAACAAAGAGAATGGACAAAAATGCACCCAAAGTCTTATTTTAAAAATAAATAGTTTAAAAGTATGTCATAAAACAATCTGAATTTAAATACATTAATACACTGAAAAATATTTATCCCTAAAATGTACTTTAAATAAAAGAGCAAAATAAAACATTGTGATGCAATTAGCATCTTTACACCCATATGCTTATCCTTGTCAGGCGACACACACCCTTCTGATAAACTCAAATCTTACTGAACTACCCCCAAATTTAGTGAAATCTCTCCTTTATTAGTATTCTCTTTTGACAAATTCATGAAGCAAGTAGCTAACTCCTGGAGTTGTAACCTATATCACTCACTACTGGCTCTGAAAGTGAAAGCTGCCCAGTCGTGTCCAACTCTTTGCAACTCCATGGACTATACAGTCCAGGGGATTCTCCAGGCCAGAATACTGGAGTGGGTAGCTTTTCCCTTCTCCGGAGGATCTTCCCAACCCAGGGATCGAACCCAGGTCTCCCGCATGGCCACAAGGGAAGCCCAAGAATACTGGAGCGGGTAGCCTATCCCTTCTCCAGGGAATCTTTTGGGGGCAGGAATCGAACTGGGGTCTCCTACGTTTGCAGGTGGATTTTTTACCAACTGAGCTACCAGGGAAGCCTATTGGCTCTGAACACGGCATATTTTTCCATTTAGATTTTTCTTAGCTTGGTTTTATAAGCCTGCCCTATCTTTGAGGTAAATTTTTGCTGTTCTGGGTCTGCTCCTCTGGATGAGTTTTCTCTGTGTTCACCTGGTTCTTCATTCAGTTTAACTAACTTGAGCAGTTACTCTGGCACAATTTTGCTGGGTGAAGTGTTTGGGGTATTGCTCCAGTCACACCACACAAGACTGAGGTCATTAATCTGTCTTATTTCCTGAGACTCCCAGTAGTTAAACATGTTTCATGTCATGAACGCCACCTTAACCAGTCAACTAATGAGTGAATACAATTCAGTGGCTTGAGTCAATTTGAAGTAATAGGCATAAAAGACAAAAATTCAACTCAGTCTCTGTCTCTCCCTCTTGGAAGGCTGTGTAAGCTGTGAGAGAGGGCTATAACAGGGGGTCCAAGTCTCCACACTAGCGTTTAAGAATGGACACTGGGGAACAATGACATTAAACACTGGTGTGTCTGAAGGAGGTGGGCATGGACAAATGTGAAAAATAATTTAAAAACAAGAGCAATGAACAAATCTGCGAAACTACTCTGAGACTTCACTGGAAAAACCTTAGGCATATAACTTAACTTGGAAATTCTCAATATTAGGATATTATCGCCAATGTTAGGAAAGTTTAAATGGTATTTTGAAAAATAGTCTTTCTTATCTTACTTTTGTAAATAGTGATACATTTCTAAAAAAATATAATTATACAAATCTAATTGTAAACTTTTAAGTACTTTGAGCAATACGAAGGTTTGGACATTGTCTAATTCTATAAATGGTCTACTTCTTGTAATAAGCTAAATTCTTTTTATTTGCCAAAAGAGACTTTCTATCCTCTTTAATAGATAACATGATTTCTCAAGTGTTTTCCTGTTAATCACTAAAATACGAGGGTAGTGTACAAACTGAAGTTACAAATAGTAAATTTGCTAGTTAGCTAGCTATATAAATACACTTATGAAATAAAACTGAAACAGCCAACAAATCAAAGATTATTGTGCCTGCTTCATAAAGATATTTAAAGTGAGGAAAACATAAATAAAACAAAATAACAAAACATAAATTAACAAGAACTTATTTACAAAAGTAAAAAAGAGTAAATGCAAAAGCAAAGGTTTTGATGGAGTTGTCTACTCAGCTATTTCTAGCCTTTTGTATTTCTGAAGTCTGTTCAATTCTTCTGATACAAATTGCTTAAGACACCATCTGGTGGACAAGAGGTGATATATCACAGGTTCTCTACAGTGGAGAAAGACTGCAGAAAAGCTCAATCTTGTTTAACTCCTAAAACATACTCATAAATTATTTTATAATCCAAACATAAAATGACATCTTTTACAGATAACGTATCTTAAGATAATTACTGATGCTCTATCATAAAAGTGTCTAAAATTTTAAAGTTTCAACAATGTTATGAAACAAAGAAATAAGCATATGGGATTATCAATACTTTAAAGTCATTGATTAAATTAAACTTTGATAACAAGGTGAAAAATTTCAAAGGTTAAGACTGGCTGTGTTTCTGTTATGGTTATGAAAAAATGGTTAATGTCTTCAGCAGAAGAGAAGAATAAACAAAGTCATGAATTATTCTTCCTTTTTCTTTAGAGTCTAGAGGCCATAAATATTAATTGAAGTCAAATCTTGTTCTTTGCATAGAAGGATTTCTATCTGACAGTGTTAGCTGATCTTGACAGAAAATGTTAGACTGGAATTCAAACATACTTCTATAGGGCAAACACACAACTTTTAATTGCCATCATGTTTGTGCATGCTAAGTGGCTTCAGTCGTGTCTGACTCTTTGCCACCCTGTGGACTGCAGCCCGCCAGGCTCCTCTGTCCATGGGATTCTCCAGGCAAGAATGCTGGAGTGGGTTGCCATGCCCTCCTCCAGGGGATCTTCCCAACCCAGAGACTGAACCTGCATCTCTTGTATCTCCTGTATTAGCAGGCAGGTTCTTCATCACTCATGCTACGTGGGAAGCCTGTTGCCATCATGGGCTGCAATTACTTTGTATTTAAACATACTATGTTGTGTGGAGTCCAGACAAGAGATAACTCATGAAATGTGGTCATTCTTCTTCCCTGCTGTGGACACTGCTGACTTCTGCGTGGAAGTGAACAAAGGTTCTGGAATGGAACAAAACGAAACAAGAGAACTGGCCACCACCAAGGCAGTTGGGGGAAGTCTTCACGCCCTGTTTGGGGCCTTAATTATTCACTTTCTTTTTGTTCAAAGAATCAGGCAACTGCCAGGTCTTCACTTTACTGGTGCTGTGTTTGCCGGGTGCAGCCCTTCTTGCTGCTGTTCGCTGCATCCTGGACAGGCAGCAAGCAGAGGCTCATTCCATGGGATGCAGCCCTTTCCTCTGGTTATGCCCAAGTAGGATTGAATCACACATGTCAGTTGTTTAGAAAGGGCCTGAGTCACTGTGACAACTCGAGTTTATAATTAACATCAACTCCTCGAATCACCTAACTAAATCCAGACCCTTGAAACAGGAATAAACCAGTCCAGCATTAATGGAATTTAGAAAAAGAAAGGTTTGGAAATACTTAATTTGTAGAAAGGACACATGAAATATTCTCTGGAATCAAAATGAGCAGAGTTATAAAACAAGAAAATGAACTGAGTCTTCTTGCGTCTGTGAAGGGGTCGACTCCAAGAAAACAATGCATTGATCATCATTGACAAAAAAGTTCATGAAAGCAGTAAAATGCCAAAATAAATACTTCTGAATTAACAAAGAAGCAAAAGAATAAGAAAACAATTAATATGAAAAAATAATCTTTGAAAACATAGAAAATGTTTTCAGCTTTATGACAAATTCAAGTAAATTAACGAATGGCAGAGGAGTTTGTAAGCTTTCAGAAAATTCAACAAATTAAGCTCCACAAATTAAAAGCTCAAGATATACACATAGCACCAGATTCTAGACCTCTGTACATTTTGTGGGGATAAATGATAATTTTACTAAGAAAATGTATATGTATATTCTGATTGTGTCAGTCTAAAACACAGCACCATTGGAGGTATTGCACAGGAAAGAAAATGAAAGAGAAAATAAATTTAAAATTAACAACACTTGAAATAAATAAAATGACCTTGGAAATGAAAATAAATAAACTTGGAAGTGAAATATACAGCATCATTCAACATGAAATAACAAAGGTTGTACATATGCACAGCCACGTAGATAGTACCTGACCATCAGTTCATCCAACTACAATGAAAACCAGTTCAAACCCCAGGTACATCTGAACAAAGCTGCCTCCATGGAGGCAGGCTGTCCACAGACCGTGCTCACAGCTTTTCACAGTCTGCCCCAGTGGCAGATGTCCGTGGCGGGGCAGTGGCTGGGGGGGTGTGCACACTCTCAGCATCCCTAGGACCCACCACTCAGATTTCAACAACATCCTCCTGCCCAGGGTTCCAGGACATCGTTTTCAACCAACAGTTTCTCAAAACAATGTACAGCCAGGCCATGAGACTACCACTCGTCTCTCCGGTTGGCCATCACATGTTTCCGTTCCCGGTCAGAGGATGCGGTCTGGGCAGTGTCCGCCCTGAAGGGCGCGGACTCTTGCTCGGTCTCATGGATTTCCTTCACGGCCCTGAACCTGTAGCTGCAGCTTCTGGGATGCATCCTTCTTCCTACAGCTTCCAGGCTTCCGCTTGTTGATATGCATCTGTGGATACCACACGCTCATCTTCTAGCACAAGGAGGTTTCTTTTCCAGTCGCAAGAAGCCCCATCCTTTGTTCTGGTGGCTGGTTCTTAACATTTGAGAGTGATGAGGTCAGAAGGCTAATGGACTCGGGCCCAAAGACTCTGCGAGGCCCTTTAAACTTTGAAAGTACCAAAGACAGCTGGGTGCCTTCACCACCAGCCACCTCCCAGAAAAATCAGCTTTCTGTTTCCCAAATGAGAAACTCAGCAAAGGGACCACAGCGCTGGGCCTTGGCTTCGCTCCTTCCTTCTTACGCAGGACACACCCATGCTGGTGGGACTGCTTTGACAGGAGCTCATTACACAGGATCAACAAAATCATTTCAGTAGTTGGCTCTGGTAGGATTTTGGGCTCCCTGATAAAACAGCCTCCTGAGTTTTCTTCCAGAATCTAAGTTATGAAGGTCTTATTGCCTGTCTGTTTCTCTACATAAGTAGAATGGATAAAGGATGGTATAAGAATTCTTAAGCTATGAAAGTGGTCAAAAAACATTCAGCAGGAGCAATGCACTATATCAAAAAAGCTAACGAAACTGTCAGCAATGATAGTGAGTTTAAATACCAAGGAAACTTCCAGACAAGTCTGAAACTTTGAAATTCAGAAATGAAAGGCCAAATACAAGTTGATGAGACTACAAAACGTACATCACCATCAGTCTACTAAATCATAAGGTATCAGTTTCTCTTAAAAAAGAACTAATGATAAGATGTGCTTGCATATTTCATAGAAAACCCTGAATAAAAATCATAATAATGGTGAAGCAAGACATATGGAATGAATTTGGAAAAAATTCTAAAAAGGCTGATATCGCAGTTACTATAGGAATAGGATTCCGATTTTTGTTTTTAATGTCTGGCCTACACCAAAAAAAAAAAAAAAAAAGTCACCCACGATCATGAGGGTCTGACAGTATTGAGAAAGCTCCAACAGCAAGGAGAGGTGACTGGAGTCGAGTCTTCCTCGGGTGTGGTTAATTCCCACCGGTTCGCTGTCGGGCGTGTGAGACGGGATACAGGCAATCTTCTGGGTTACATCTTCCACTAGGTCCTGGGGGGCCCTGGGGCCCTGGGGCACCTGGCGAGCCTGGCAAGCCCGGAGCTAATGAAATAAAAGACCCCATCAGAATGCAGGAATATAGATCTTCCTCCCTCCCTCCAACCGACACGAGTCATTCAATGTCAACCGGAGCGACACCAAAGGGCCACAGGGGGCAGGTGTGGCTCCTATTTTTGGAGGCTGGCTCATGTTGCAAAGATAATATCACTATTACCTGAAGTCCCAGGAAGACCTGGGCTCCCTGGAAGCCCAATTCCCGGTTCGCCCCTTTCTCCCTTCTGTCCTCGGTAGCCTAAGGAGGAGATAAACAAAGAGAGACAAAAAAGTAAGCGTGCTCTCGGACTGATGCGCATTCAGAGGATGCTTTGACGTGCCTGTGTAAAGCACACCCAGTGGAATATCTTCACACATTTATATCTAAAGACTGTGCTACAGATACTCAGTACAATGCTGGATCCCACAACAGTGGCCTGAACACGTGGCACAATATCCTAAATTTACACATATTCAAATGTGAAATGTCCCCAGGATTTCTTTTCTATAGGTGACTTTCATTCAACATATGTGAACAATTAGGAAAAGTGTTTGCAGTTAGGTCATTTGAAAGTACCCTTCCAAGTCTATATTTATAAACATTTCTGCAGTAAAATAACATTTACTACCTGGAGTATATTTAATAGTTCCAGCCAGTTCCCACTATTACAGAGACCTTGTTAAGTTGACTCTCACTAAGTCATCTCAGTGAGTGCTTAATATCACAGGCTAAAAAATTAGGAAGAAAGAAAATAACTGAAGAAATATGAACTTTTGGTTAACAAGGATTAATAACACTGGAACATAATTTCAAATGAAGAACATATCTGCTAAAAGCTATGTATTTAAATTCAGTTCTCAGATTTTAATATAATGCAAAATACATTATTCCACATGAATCTCAGTGCATATGAGGAGTCATAAAACAAGAAAAAATAATTTATGTATTTGTAAAATAGGGTAACATTTATATATCTCCTGTCAAAGGTAAAAATGTATTTGTACAAAGCTCTCATATCATTAGGTTAATACTGACCTGCTGTTAATAGATAGGGGTGTTGAACTGCACAAAGCACATGAGAAATTTTCACTCCAACTCCCTATTAAGGTCCCAGGCTCATTCCTTATGAAGGCTGCCCCAAAGCCAGAGGGTCTTATTTTATAATTGTTTCACAGCAAAATGTTCAGATAGGAAAGCTAATAAGGTCAGTAACAGCTTCCCCATTTTTCTAGAATAAGTTTTTCACGCCTTTAGGGCAGGCCTCTCCTGAAATTTGGAAAGGACTTGAAGGCTGGTCTGTCTGCAAGGAGACGTGTGTGTGCATGGCCTTGTAGGTGCAGGATGACAGTTTGGCATCAGTGTAGCTTCTGTAGGAAAACAAATAAAGCAGCAGCAGTGTCCTAACCCAACGTGACTAGAGGTTCTTGTCATTGAAGAACTGTGTTTGCTGTAGTTTTTCAGGTGGTAGCCTTGGAGATTTCCATTTCGACTCTCGGGGTTTATTTCTAAAGTTTTAAGTCAGTGCATTTATATGTATGCTGGAAAAATGAGGTCAGAAAAAGAGTGTTACTGGCATTTGGGAGGGATAATTCTTCATGCAGAGCCTTACAAGCTATTTGAAGGCCTTACGCGTTGTTTGTCCTGCCCCGTTTGACCACTGTGTCCTTCGTCATTTTGACACACACACGCCTCCCACTTCCTAAGGCCCCTACTGTTAACAAATCTGAAAAGTCAAATCTGTATCAGTCACACGAACTACTCTATGGGCCACTGGATTACAAATAACAGAAGGTTTCCCTCATTATGAACCAATAACAGCTGAACTTTGTAAGTTCAAAAGTAAGAACAATCATTCCCAATATTGTCCCTCCAATGTTGATGGAAGCTAGAAGGCAGGATCTGTTTTCTCCTGCTAACCCCACATCCACTTAGTGTGCGAGGCTCTTTCTAAAATGGATAAGGCTTTGAAGTGTGGCATCCATTCTTGAGGATTTTCACAGAGGTGGGAAATCAGCATGTGCTTGAGAAAAGGTTAAGTTCTTTCAGGATTCCTGATCAAGACGGTGAACTGGAAAACCCTGAGCTCACCTCCTCCCATAGACACACCAAAACTACAACTGCATGTGAAACAACTATCTCTGAGGATGGATGACCTGAAGATAGCAGAACAGATGTTCCACAACCGAGGATATAAGGGAAAGGCCAGATCAAGATGGGCAGGAGGCGCAGAGAAGTGGTCCAGTCAGAGGCCACCCCCCTGGGATGCTGACCACAAGGGGAGGGACAGTCCAGCTGAGGAGGTTACCCCGGGGAGCGGGGGTCCACGTCCCTTGTGGGGCTTGCCAGCCCTGGAGACCTGCCCTGGGAAGACAAGTCCCCAAACGCCTGTGCCTGAAAGCCAGCAGGGCCTACCTCCAGGAGAGCCTGAGGGCTGTGGGAAACCAAGCCGCCATCCGTGAGGGCTCCTGCACAAGCCCACCTGCTCTGAGTCCCAGCACGCAAGCACAGCTTGAAAAGCACCTGGGTCTGCTTTTCAGGGGTACTGCATCCTTCTACTTTTCTGTATATTCAGTCCATTAAGTTTTGAGAGTTTGATATTGAAACTCCAACTAAAAATCTTTATCTATTAAAAAATAATTGTAATATATAGTGGAACTATATGTAACTTTGTTCTACATTTTCCAAGTCTCCTGTAAGTATTTTTTCATATTTTCATAATTTAAAAAATAAGAAAGAGAAAAAAATACTTTCTAATCTGAAATTGCCAAGATTTTGCTTTTTCTTTTTTAAAATCATGAACAGGTGTTGAATATAATCAATTAAGTTTCTTTTTTCTGAATCTGTTAATATGACCATAAGTAATTTCTTTCCTTTATCTGGTTATGAGGTAAATTACATTAATTGATTTTCAAATGGTAAACCAATTGTGCCTTCCTATAATAAAACTTGATCTTGAAGTAGTTAAAAAAAAATAAGAGCATCTGGGTCCTACGAGAAAGTGGTTCACTGACTGATTTCAGAGCGTGTGACAGAGGGGCAGGATCCAGTGGACTCTGTCCTGAGGACAGATGTGCTGGTAAGTGCTGTTTCCTCCCTTTCCATCTGCTTGGCCCAGCGCTGGTGGGCAGCGTTCTGACACTCTCCATCCCCCTAGCTACAACACTGGGCGCCTCTCCCCAGCACTGCTTGAGGAACTACCCCGGCCCATCACCCCAAAGCAGCTCCTGTTCCACACTGAGGGGGCAGCACCGGATGGCATGGGCCCCCCAAGGCAATTCCCACTCTCAGAGTCTGGCCCCTATGTCAGCGTGCCTGTCACAATCATGGCTGGGTCTTGCAGCCGGCCAGCTAGGGGCAACTCCTGCCCATCAGTGCCCCCATAGCAACCATGACCCAACTACAACAGGAGGATGCGTAAGTCCCACAGGGGATACCCTGGGAGCACCCTGCTCTGGTGACCAGGGGGCATCGTGCTCTCGGACGGACCCCACAGGACACCTTCCACGTAAAGCCACTTTTTCAGACAAGGAAATGTAGCTGATAAACCTAACGCAGATAGATAAACACAGAAAGTTAGGCCAAATGAGGAGATAAGGGAACATCTTCCACATGAAAGGACAAGATAAACCTCAGAAAAGGAAGCTTTTCTTGAGAAAAATGGAGATAAGCAACTAATCGGATAAAAAGTTCAATGTAATAGTCATAAAGATGCTCACCAAACTTGGGAGAAGAATGCATGAACCCAAGGAGGACTTCACTGAGGAGACAGAAAGTATGAAAAAGAACCAATCACAACTAAAGAATACAATAACTGAAATGAAAAATACTGCAGAGGGAATCCATAGCAGGTTACAGGATGCAGAGGAGAGAATCAGTGATTCAGAAGACAGGGTAGTGAAAATCACCCAGTCAGAGAAGGAAAAAAAAGTGAGGAAAAAGCTAGGACAGCACAGAGCTTACTAACATTTACAATATGAGGGCCCCAGAAGAAGGAGAGAGAGAAAGGACCAGAAACGGTCCTTAAAGAAACAAAAGCTGAAAAGTTCTCTAACCTGGTGAAGGAAACAGACCCCAAAGCCTAGGAAGCATGTGCCTGTGTGCTAAATCACTTCATTTGTGCTTGATTCTTTGCGACCCCATTTGTGCTTGATTCTTTGTGAGCCTAGCCCACTAGGCCCCTCTGTCCATGGGATTCTCCAGGCAAGAATACTGGAGTGGGTTTCTGTGCCCTCCTGCAGGGGATCTTCCCGACTCAGGGACTGAACCCACGTCTCTTATATCTCACGCATTGGCAGGCAGGTTCTTTACCACTAGTCCCACCTGGAAAGCACCTAGTAAGCATAGAGAGTCCTAAAGAAGATGAACCCAAAGAGGTCCATACTAAGACATATTATGATTAAAACAGCTAGTTAAAGAATCTTAAAAGAAGTAAGGAAGAAAAAAGTTAAGTACAAGAAAACACCCATAAAAATATCAGCTGATATAAGAAATGAATAAATTCCTAGAAACACACTCTTTCAGGATTGAATCAAGAAGAAATGTTACTTGAATAGACCAATCACTATTAATGAAATTGAATCAGTAATTAAAAAAAGAAAACTACTGCAAAGTTCAGGACTTCACAGGTGAGTTCTACAAAACATTTTATGAAGAGTTAACAATTTTCCTTCTCAAACTATTTCAAAAAATTGAAGAGGAAGAAACACTTCTAAACTCATTCAATGAGGCATTACCCTGGTACCGGAATGAGACAAGGATGCCACCAGGAAAGAAAATTACAGACCAATATCCCCAAAAAACACAGATGTGAAAACTGCAACAAAATATTAGTGAACTGAATGTAACAAAATATGAAAAGGGTCATAAATCATGATTGAGTGAGATTTATTTCAGGGATAGAAAGATGGTTCAATATCCAGAAGTCAATCAGTGATCAACAGTGAGTTATCTGTACTGTTCTGTTTAGTTGCTAGTGGTGTCCGATTCTTTGTGACCCCATGGACTGCAGCATGCCAGGCCTCCCTGTCCATCACCAACTCTAGGAGCTTACTCACACTCATGTCCATCGAGTCAGTGGTGTCATCCAACCATCTCACCCTATGCCATCCCTTTCTCTTCCTGCCTTCAATCTTTCCCAGCATTAGGCTCTTTTCCAATGAGTCGGCTCTTTGCATCAGGCAGCCAAAGTATTGGAGCTTCAGCTTCAGCATTAGTCCTTTCAATGAACACCCAGGACTGATTTCCTTTAGGGTGGACTG